TGATTCTCCCCATAGCTTTTTAAGATTGATACATAATAGATGTGCAAATTTTCAGGGTACATGTCATAATTTGATACCTTCATATAATATGTAAAGATCAAATCAGGGTCACTAGAATATCTACCGCCTTAAATTTTTCTTTTCTTTGTGCTAAGAACATTCAAATTATTCTCTTTTAAGTATACAACAGATTGTTAACTATAGTCACCCTAACAATCTGTCAAACAGTAGGTCTTATTTATTCTATCTGAATGGTGTATTTGTATCTATTAATCAACCTCAGCCATGCATGGTGGCTCACACCTATAATCCCAGCACTTGGGGAGGCCAAGGAAGAGTATCGCTTGAGCCCAGGAGTTCAAGACCAGACTGGGCAATGTAGGGAGACCTTCACCTCCCGGGTTCAAGTGATTCTGCTGCCTCAGCCTCCTGAGTAGCTGGGACTACAGGCTTGTGCCACCATGCCCAGCTAATTGTGTAGTTTTAGTAGAGATGGAGTTTCACCATGTTGGCCAGGCTGGTCTTGAACTCTTGGCTTCAAGTGATCCTCCTGCCTCTGCCTCCCAAAGTGCTGTGATTGCAGGCATAAGCCAATGCACCCACCACACCCTGTCTTCCTATAAAAATTAGCCAGGCATGGTGACACACACCTGTAGTCCCAGCTACTCAGGAGGCTAAGGCAGGAGAATAGCTTGAAGCCATTCTAACTATAATGAGATGATAGCTCATTGTGGTTTTGGTCTGCATTTCTCTGAAGATTAGCAATACCATTTTTTCATATACCCATTGTCCGTCTGCAATTCTTCTTTTGAGAAATGTCTATTCAGATCTTTTTCCCATTTTTAAGTGGATTATTTGGGGTTTTGCTATTGAGTTGAGCTCCTTATATATTCTGGTTATTAATCTCTTGTCAGATGAATAGCTTGCAAATATTTTCTCCCATTCTATGGGTTATCTCTTCACTTTATTGTTTCCTTTGCTGTGCAGAAGCTTTTTAGGTTGATATAATCCCATTTGTCTATTTTTGCTTTGGTTGCCTGTGCTTTGAGGTTTTACACAAAAAACATCTTTGCCCAGATTAATGTCCTGGAGGATTTCCCCAGTGTTTTCTTTCACAAGATTCATGGTTTCAGGTCTTAGATTTCAGTATTTAATTCATTTTGATTTGATTTTGTATATGGTGATAGAGGTCCAGCTTCATTCTTCTACATATGGTTATTCAGCTTTTCTAACACATTTGCTGAAGAGACTGTCTATTCTCCAACGTATATTCTCAGTACCTTTGTCGAAAATGAGTCGGCTATAAACGTGTGAGTTTATGTCTGGGCTGTCTATTCTGTTCCATTGCTATGTGTCTGTTTTTATGCCAGTACCATGCAGATGCAGTTGCTATAACTTTGTAATATATTTTGAAGCCAGGTAGTGTGATGCCTCCAACTTTGTTCTTTTTGCTCAGGATTGCTCTGGCTATTCAGGGTCTTTTGTGGTTCCATATACATTTTAGATTTTTTTTCTATTTCTATAAAGAATGTGATTGGTATTTTCATAGGGATTCCATTAAATATGTGAATTTATTTGCAGAGTACTGTCAAATTTATTTGCAGCGTATTGTCATTTTGATGGTATTAATTCTGCCAATCCATGAGCATGAAATATCTTTCCACTTTTTGTGTGTCCTCTTCAATTTTTTTCCATCAGGGTTTAATAGTTTTCCTTGTATACATCTTTCACTTTTTTTATTAAATTGGTTACTAGGTATTTTGTACTTTTTGTAGGTATTGTAAATGGGATTGATTTCTTGATTTCTTTTTCATATTATTCACTGTTAGCGTATATAAATGTTACTGATTTTTGTATGCTGATTTTGTATCCTGCAACTTTTCAGAATTTGTTTATCAGTTCTAACAGTTTTTGGTGGAGTCTTTAGGTTTTTCTAAATATAAGATCATGGTGTCTGCCAACAGGCCTCACTTGGCTTCTTCCTTTTTCATGGTTTTCTCTTCTATCACCTGTCTCACTGAAACTGATCTCCCCTTTTCATTACTTCCTCTCATCATCTTCTGTCTACTCCCTGTCCTCTCTGGATATTATGTAATTCTCACTATGTTAATATAGTTTCTTACCCTAGCTCTAAATAGTAAGTATATAGCCTCCTAATGAAAATCTTTTTTAATTAATAAAGTTAGAAACCTTTGGAGTAGGAGATTCATTCCCATACCTTCACCAGTTACCAGAATTTTTTCTGTGGTTTTCCAGCAAAACAGTTTCTGCTGGCTTCCCTCTACCAAATCCTCTCTCAGATTAATTTCCTCTGCCCTCAATCCCCTAGATTGAAGAGATTATCTAAAGCCTTTCTCTTCTCCATTCATTGCTCTAAGTCAGATTCAAATATTTTTACTACTTCCCATTTGGCCAACTTATGTTGTTCCTCAACAGGTGAAGTAGAAGTAAATTTTTGAGATTGTTGTTCTCTTAAGCCAAGAGTTCCTGCCATCCAATAAATGTGAAGTCCAATGTGGGGCTGCTATGCTCTTCTTTGCAAAGTAATAATGGTAAAATAACACTACCATACATTATCACCATCATTTCAGAAGGAAATTTTAACATTAAATAGTAAGGACACAATATCAGAATAAACTACAGCCCTTACATGGAATACACTAGTGACCAGCTTTATAGCTTTATGGAGCTGATCTCAACAGGGTCTTTATTTTTCTCATGTCTCTAAAACACAAGGAAAACTTCAGAGACACATACAGGTGACCAGATTAGTATTTAAGAGGTGCCATAGTACAAATTATCACACATACCTTATTTTAACCCATTTTAAAGAGGAAGTTTAATATGCTTCCCCTCAACTTGGGTTGGTCTTTGCAGCCAGCACTGGGCTTTCTATTTGGCTTTCCACTTATCCAAAACAGGTTTTTAGTAACAGGAGGGGTTCTTGAGAAACAGAATTTTAAGGATAGATTTCTTTAGTTGGTTTGGGGGTTTCTGGAGTTGGATGCTTAATATAATTAGACCCAAAAATGCTAAGGACTCTACTTCTAATACTATGGAGAACACTGACAGTCCTTGATGTGACCTGTCTAGAGAGTTATGCAAAATAAATGCTTTGATACTCCTGATTCATCACTCTTCAGAGGCGAAGAGTTTGGCAACTCTACACATAATACCTTTGACCATATGTGGAGAACCAAGGAATATAATAAAGTTGTTTGGTTGCTCCTAAGTTTGCTGGACAAAGTGATGAAAGAAAACAATGAACTCAGGGATTCTAACTCTTGTCTCCAGAAGCATATCTTGAGCCTCGAATCTAAGAGTGTCCTGAGTGAGAGTCTTATCTCCTGTAGAGGAAGAGTTGAAATTGTGGGAAAACAGACGTAAGCTCTTATCATGTGAGTAGCTGACCTGCAATGAAAGGTACATGCTCAGTCTCACCAGGTATCTACTGTTAAAGTGAGGGCATTAATTGGAAAAGAATGGGACTCTGCAACTTGGAATAGAGATGTGTGGGAGGATGTTTAACATCAACTTTAAACATCTTTACACATCTTGCTTTGCTGTGTCATATGGATTTCTGAACTAATGTGCCATTAGTTCAGAACTAATGGCACATTAGTTCAGAAATGTGCCATTAGTTCTGAACTAATGGCACATTAGTTCAGAAATCCATATGACACAGCAAAGCAAGATGAACCTGGACGTTTTCTGAACACAAAAAGATGATCCCACACTGTCACCATCCATCTCCGCTGTTTTCAGGTTTCTGTCCTGCATACATTTCTCCACCTTTTTACTCTGGCTCTTTACAAGCTCAAGCTTCTGAAATCCACCATTATTCTAGGTCCATTTATGTTCTTTGCTACATATGTTTGTGTCCTTCTCTAAAGTTTTTCTGTTTTTCTTCTGATCATCCATTTTTCTAGACATCAACTCTGTAAAACTTTTCTTGTGCTTGTTTCTATAATAATTAGTCATCACAAGTATATGGGTACAGGTATTAAAAAAACCTTTTCTAAAACCTCTTTGCCTCTTTAATTCTATTAGAGTAGTCCCACTGAATTTAGATGGTCCCCATCTGAGGCCACTAAAATTAACTACTTCAGGTATTATGATTTAGCATACCTGCAACTGTTACAAAGATAAGGTAAGAGAGCCATACAAATAATAATCATATTGCTTTTTTGCATTTTGGGGATTTTTTTAAAAGGAAGCAATGCATAAAGAAGTGTAAATTTAGAAAGAAAATATGAAAGGAAAACAATTGTCACAATCCATCTCAATACATTTTAAAAAACTAAGCTATATTTCTACTGATCTTGATTTTGTACAAGATTCCATTTTGATGACTATATTTTTATTTTGAGATTAAGTCTTGCTCTGTCACCCAGCCTGGAATGCAATGGCACAATCTTAGATCACTGCAGCCTCCGCTTCCCGGGTTCAAGTCATTTTCCTTACTCAGCCTCCCAGGTAGCTGGAACTACAGGCATGTGCCACCATGCTCAGCTAATTTTTTTTGTATTTTTAGTAGAAATGGAGTTTCACCAGGCTGGCCAGGCTGGTTTCGAACTCCTGACCTCAAGTGATCCACCCGCCTTGGACTCCCTAAGTGCTGGGATTACAGATGTGAGCCACAGCGACTGGCCCCATTTTGATAATTTTTAGTTGAACTGAGTTGCATTTATTTTATAGTATCTTAGATTGTAAAATTTGACAAAGAATTATATCTTCCTTTATTTTCCATTTTATTTACAGTTTTTTTTCCTTTCCAACACAGTAATATATGATTGCTTACATTTTTTTCAAATATTTCAGAAATCTGTTAATGGGGTGGTAAAAGGTTTCTATGAGTCCACTCCCCAACATATAGACATGTGGAAGATAATCACTGTAACCTGTTGGTGTATATCCTTCCAGATTTTTTTCTTGTACATACACTAATATACATATTACTAATCAGCATGTTTTTAAGTGAGAAGGACTCCACCACTTACCAAAATAAGCCCTGATATTAGTGAGGAAGTGCCTGTCAGGGCCACGTAGAACTTCGGCGTTAATGTGTTCAAAAACATGCTCACTGAAAAAGAAAAGAGAGAGAAAGGGAGAACAAGGAATGTATGTCAGTAAAAGCAGCTCTTTCATTTTTCTCTCTAGTAAAATCATTTATTTCTGATGATGAGAACTCTTAGAACCATAGTGAGGTCCCATTAAAATTATTCACCAATACATAGGCTCAGAATACTAGGTGTAAAGTAATATACCTTGGGGGGGAAAAAAAAAAAGCTAAGTATGAGAAAAAAGAAAAGTTTTAGTTTCTAACTCTCAAAACAATTGTTGAGAATGGTTCTCATGGATTCAAAACCATGAAAGAGTTTAATCAAAGTTGGTTACAAAACTGTTAGCCAAAAAGAGAAGGTGCTCTTACACGTTTTGTGGGACCTGCACATCAAAGTCCTTGATGCGCCAACAAGCAGTATTTCAACCTTAGAATAAATGGAAAATAGCTATATTTAATATATTAGTTATTAAAGATTATCATGCTATGGTTACCCCTAAGAGGGAAGGACAAATTAACAAGTTATTAGGTTGGTGCAAAAGTAATTGTGGTTTTGGCCATTGTATGATGAGTACAAGTTGGGTTGTTTTTTTTTTTTTTCCCCCAACTTACTTAAAAGGCTTTTAAACTGATCATTGAAATAAATGGAGTCAATGAAAAAAATGAAAAATAAACCACTAAGAATGAATGTTCACTGCCAGGCACCTTCTTTTTTTTTTTTTTTTTTCCCCAAAGCAAGTTTACTAAGAAAGTAAAGGAATAAAGAATGGCTACTCCATAGGCAGAGTAGCTCAGGCAACTTCTTGACCAATTCCTACACTCTGTTCATATCCACTATTCAGTCAATCTGGTTGCTCACGGATTAGGGTTCCCTTATAAATATTTTATACATATATCTAATTCATTGTTATTTATATCTAGATACTACACAAAACTTTTACTATTATCAAATGGGCTTTTTGCAAGAATATTCACATTTCTTGACTGAATCTGTTTGTAGAAGGGAATCACATCCAGTCTGGTTTTAGAAGTAGGGCTTTGATGTCATTCGAGGGAAAGGCATTGGCATCTGTCCTGAGCTCAGCCCAGAAAGCAAAGTAATATACCAAAATGAAAAGAGGTCCCAACGGTCACTCACACAACAAATATTTTTCTCTGTTTATGAATGAGACCACGGGTAAAGAATGAAAGAATGAATCAGACACATTTCCCACCCTCTAGAAGATCAAGTGCAGTTGAAACACACAAGCAAATGAGCGACTATTACTTAAGTGCATAGATAGGTCCTGGGCACAGGATTTTATGAAAACACATGAGCAATGCATCCCAGGCTGGGTGGTAGGGAAGACGTCCAGGAGACGGACACATCTAAGACGAATCCTGAAGAACAAGCAAGAGTTAACCAGACCGAAGTGGACAGAAAGAGGGATGGGAGCACAATCTAAATAGAGGAAAGGACCTGCCTCGAGGTGCCACGGAGACAGCATGGGCCTTTCCAAGAAGATGCAAGGGTTCAGGAGGAAAGAAGATTAAACAACAAAGACATGGATGTAGAAGGGTGCACTGATTCCATTCTTTCATGCTACCAGATCATCCTCTCAATAAGTTCACCTCCCACAACGCAGCGCACTTACTCTTTTTTTTTTTTTTTTTTCCAGATGGAGTCTTCCTTAGCCGCCCAGGCTAAAGTGCAGTGGCATGATCTCAGCTCACTGCAACCTCCGCCTCCCAGGTTCAAGTGATTCTCCTGCCTCAGCTTCCTGAGTAGCTGGGATTACAGGCTCCTGTCACCACGCCTGGCTAACTTCTGTATTTTTAGTAGAGACAAGGTTTCACCATGTTGGCCAAGCTGGTTTCAAACACCTGACCTTGATCTGCCAGCCTCAGCCTCCCAAAGTGCTGAGATTATAGGAGTGAGCCACTGTGCCCAGCCCCACTGCACCCACTCTTAAGTGAATGTTTGACTTGAGGTATTTCATTTGCAATCACAAGCGACCGGACTAACACAATATACTCAGTCAATACTTACACCTTGAACTAAATGGACCCCTTCCAAGTAGGCAGAAGAAGGCACAGAAGTAGTGATTAGCTTAGGGCTGTGAGGTAAGAGGAGGAAGGTACAGTTGAGTTGAGGAGGCTTTGCCTGGCCATCGACCCCCCCGCTCCACACACACACAAAAATATAGTGATACGTCATTTCCCATGTAACAGTTTGTGGAAGGAAGGAGATTTTTAAAAAGGAAAAAAATCAAATGCACACAAAACACTCCCAGAGCTTACAACTGCTAGTATGATTCAAAGGTGCTTAAAATTCTCAAAATTTCCCTCCACACTATGAGTGACCCCACATTCCCTGTTATTTTTCTAAAAGTCAGCAGAATATTCACTTTTTTATTCTGTAACTATAAACTTTCATATCTGTACCATATACTTTTCAGTAGGTTTCTGCAAACAAACTGAGTGCCACTGAAATCCATTTGTAAAATAGAGGAAAAGATTTGCCTAAATTAGAAGAGTTTTAGTAGCCCTGCTGTTAACTGCCTAGCAACAAAAGCAAAAAGCAATGGAGATGAAAGATTTTCTGCTGAAAAACCACTGATTCACTGGAGGCAAAAGACTCAAGATTTAATCAGTAATTGAAAAAAGAACAACACTGAGTTTTTTTAAAAGAGATAAAAATAAAGATTCCATTAATTTGATTTTATTTAAGATTATATATCAATAATAATAATTAAAATTTATTTCTCTGAAATATCCATGTATAAGAAGGTGGCAGAGTTGACAGAAATAATGGTAGGCATTAAAAGAAATGGAGACACAAACAGAAAACAGAGAAACAGAAACAGAAATACCTAGAGAGTGAGAGATACCCATTTAATAATCTATTAATTTATAATCTTATTAAATAATCTGACTAAAAACATTCAGATGTGGCATGTGGCAATTCTGGACATATGTCAACACTTGGTACTTGCCATTTCAACCTATATATTTATCTATGTGTTTAAGGATTATAACAAAGCATTTCCACAGATTAGAGAAGTTAATTTTCACTTCAGCTCCATTAAATCAATGTTATTATTCACGCTGTCTTGCAGCCGGAGGCTGGGCAAGGACCTCAATGCCAGTCAGCCTGCCCTCAAGTTCATGCTCTTAGCATCACAGGGGACACATGGGAATATTACCGAAAAGCCTTAAGCAAAAATGGACAAAAGGAAACGACAGTAGCCTTTCATTAGAAAAGGAGAGGAAGCTCTAAATAAATGATACTATAAGACAGATTTCTTAAACACTGCACTTATTTTTATCTCTGACTTTTATAGATAAGTCCCCTGTGAGCTTGTCATTTGTGTGTGAAGCACTAGAGTGAAAAGGCAGTAAAAATTCTATTAAATTAGGAGGGCTGCAAACTATCGACCAAACTGCCTTAAAACCAAGAAATATCTCGCCTAGTTTCATCAAAGTCATTAGCAATTATTTTTGAAAACATATGAGGGCCTGATAAAGTAACTAAAATTGCACCAGAGAACTGTGGGGTATGTACTTTGAGACATAAAATGGATATCCCTAATATTCTATAGGCACATCAAGGTCACCTCCATACACACTAGGGCTAAGCAAAACAAATGTTAAAAACCAATATGTAACAACTAATCTAGCTTTGTGAAAATAAACTAATACTTTACTAAGGCACTATTTCAATAAATCAGGGGGCTTTTCATCTGACCTGGCTGGGCACCTCTAACAGGTCACCGCTCAAAGAACATTACATCAGTTATTGAAGGGCAGCCTCAGGGAATGCATCGCATAGAGTTCTAAAGATGCTGAACCTTCACTTGGCACAGGCTTCTCATTTAATCAATCAGTAAATGTGAAGGAATTAAGTGTGGCACTGAGAAGAAACTAAGTAGGCGGGGTAGGTACATGGATTGAAAATTAAATTACCTCTATGGATCACAGAAAAGAATAGGTAAGAATATAATATAGCAGGTTCAACTGTGGGAAATGAAGAACCACCCTAGTGAACAAAGAATTAATACCAGAATGCTTACTCAGGAATCCTGTGGCACAGCCCTATGAAGCCAGGCCACCTTCTGGCTCTCATGACAGTAATAGCCTTCCACTTTTTCTTTTTTTTTTTTTTTTTCTTCTTGAGACAGTCTTGCTCTGTCACCAGGGCTGGAGTGCAGTGGTGCAATCTCTCAGCTCACTGCAACCTCTGCCTCCTGGATTCAAACGATTCTTGTGCCTCAGCCTCCCAAGTAGCTGGGATTACAGGAATGCGTCACCATTCCCAGCTAATTTTTGTATTTTTAGTAGAGACAGCGTTTCACCATGTTGGCCAGAATGGTCTCCATCTCTTGACCTTGTGATCTGCCTGTCTCGACCTCCTAAAGTGCTAGGATTACAGGCTTGAGCCACCGTGCCCAGCCTCCTTCCACTATTTTCTTCAGGTTATGAGCAACTCCCATATTACACTCCTGGAAAAGGTCTCTGTAAAGCAGAGCAGACATATAATCCTGTGTGTTTGCCTCCTTACATATATTCCACCTCTCACAAGAAAGCCTTCGAATGAAGAAGGTAAGGCAGCATCAATGCCTTGGAGGTACTGACTAGATAGAACTGAATAAGCAGCATGACAAAGTCCACAACATCCAAAAATATGGGTCTGCTTTGTGCCATGTTCCTTATTAATGCTTTGCTAAAATATGACATGCAAAATAAAAAAAAAAGTTAATAATCAGCAATAATTCAAAGGGTTAAAAAAGAGTCCCTGGGAGAAAAGTTTAGAGAAACTAAGTTATTTAGGCTGAAGAAAGGAAACAAACAAACAATCCAAGGGACTTTATATAAAAGCATTATGCCTAGGACAGAGACCAGGATTAGGAGACCCAGTCTCCAAATGTGAGACCAATTGTGTCATGATGTCCCTGAGAGTGTCCCACGCTCTTGCAGAACTTTGGTTTTCTATCTGTTTCCCAGAACTGCTCTGAGGCTGAGATGAAATGTGCATTTGCTCT